CTCTAAAGTTTTTGCGAAACTGAGCAAGGTTGTGACTTGGCTTGGCATGAAGCGCGACATTTTTCGCTATTGCCGTTCCTGCCACGTCTGTCAAACGGTGAAATCAAGGGGTGGCAAGCCGCCCGGCTTGATGAAACCGATTGTCAGTGAGCGTCCGTGGCAAGTAGCCACCTGCGATCTAATGTGGCCGTTCCCCAGGAGTAAGCAAGGGTTCATACATCTGATGGTAGTTGTTGATCATTTTTCCAAATGGGTGGAGCTGTTTCCGCTGCGGAAAGTGACAGCGCAAGCGGTGCTAGAGAGGCTACAGGAAGTGTTTTGTCGGTTCGGCTTTCCGAAGAGATTGATCACGGACAATGCGTCATATTTTACCGCTCGGGTGTTTGGTGATACGTGCCGTTCCCTAGGAATAGATCACTGCACCACTTCGCCCTACCATCCCCAGTCCAACCTGACGGAGCGAACTAATTGTACGCTCAAACCGATGCTGGCGGCCTTTGGCGAAAGTCAAAGGGACTGGGCAGACCATTTGAGTGAACTCTCGTTTGCAATCCGAACCTCCGAGAGTCGCTCGACTGGTTTCTCTCCCGCCTTCCTTAATTTCGGAAGGGAGTTGGCAAATCCGGTGACCAGTGTCATGCAATGCCAGCTCGGAGACGAGGAAGAACCGGCAGACTGTTCTGCTTACGCTTCCACACTTCAGGACAGGCTTTGTCGAGCTCTCAGTAGAGCGAGGCAGAGTTTGGCATCGGCCAGGGCCGAGCAAAAGGTCCAGTACGACCGAAAACGTCGCCACCTTTCATTTAAGGTAGGTGACCTCGTCCTGAAGCACAACCACGCTATTAGCGACGCGAGCAAGGGTTTCTCAACTTCGCTCGCTCCAAAGTGGCTTGGTCCGTACCGGGTGGAGAAAGCTTGGACTCCACTCGCGCACTTGCTGAAAGACCCGCTTTCGGGAAAACTCAGCCGTGCCCAGATCGCAGACCTGAAAGCCTTTGCGTCAAGGTCTGACGAGCCTGCGCCAGCGCCCAGTGGCTCTTCGCGCAAGCAACGGCGCACACCCGGCGCGGCGGACCGCAGTCGGACCACGCACCGGACGGCGGGCTTATTTCCGCAACCGAAGACCCTCATTTTTACTTTCTAGTCTCAATTAGCTAACTTCTTTACAGCCAGTGCTTGCAAAAAAGTCTGTTCCGCCCAGTTACTGCTGCTGATTGTCATTTGAGTGTTGTTGTTTACTTGATGTTTTTTCCGTGTTTTCTTTTTTTCCTTCTCGCTGGAGGAGGGGATTGTGAATTGGTGCTTTAGCGTGGGGAGAGGGACAAAGGACGCTCTGCGCTTTCTTTGCGGTGCGCGTTTAGAGAGACCCGACCATCGGAGGTGTGTGTGCGTGTGTGCGTGCCTGTGGCAACAACTTAAGAAGTCACCGACCCCTACACCACCTTGCACTCTGGAGGTGTTCGGAGACCTGCAGTCGTTAGGCAGCCCGGTTGCGCCCTGCTCCCGACCATCGCTGATAAGCACTGCTGGCCTTTCTATCACGGCTCCTGCAAGAGGCCAGTTGTCACAGACGCTGTGCACGACTCGACCGACGCCGCAGGACGCCTTGCAGCCAGTGGATTTGGCGATCATGACTCCAGCAGAAGGGCCGGCTGTCGCAACGAGGCCCATCGAACCTCCACCGAGGCGGCGTTCGTCGGACTCACGGGCCTGTCGTCAAGATCGACGAGATGAAGGTGAGCCCTTTCCTCGCATGAGGGCCTCAACCAGAATTTTCGCCTGGCACTCTCGCATCCACGCAGTCACCCAAGTCAAACATTACGTGACGCTTCCCCTCCGAGCCGTGGACGCGCTCTTGCGTGAGCATCATGAACTCCCGTTACCCCTCTTCTGTGGAGCCATTGTGTTTCTCAAGGGTATTCTTGTGTTGTTTTATTTTTTTTTCTTCAGCAGCAATTGCAGAGCGAGGCTGAGGCTAGCTGTTGCCCATTGCATGGCGCCTTTGTATGTATGGGAGACGACCGGCTGCCTTTGCAGACCGGTATATAGGGTGAATTAAGGAGAGGAGGATGTGGGGATCTGAGGCGCGCCTGCGACCATTTCGCGGGCATTCCGCCGCACGGCCACAACCTTTTGCTTTTCTTGCTTTGATAACGACGCGTGGCGATAGACGGCGCCACGTGCGGGCACGGCACGTGGTACGCGCGCGCCGAGGGAGCGCTCCTTTTCCGCGGTCGGCGTCGGGTAAGCACATGTTTTTTTTTCCTTCGTCCGCGTCCCCTTTGGGAATCGCCGAACTGTAGCCTGCCTGGGGTGGCCTCGGGCACCTCGGCAGGCGTGTTTACTTTAGTGCTAGCTTCGGTAGCGTACGCTAAGCCTACAGCGGTGCCTAGTGCTTGAAGTGGTCGTACCACAACGAGCCGCCCTTGCCGTAGGCCTACGCGTACGAGGTTTGCCCTAACACTCGCGACCAGGCTCATTGGCTCATTGGCCATCGTGAGAGTGCACAGCATAGCCGCGAGGGACCTTTTCCCGACCGGCGTGTCAAAGCTCGCCATTGCCAGCTGCGACGTGCTCTCGGTTTTTCCCTTATTGTGAACGTCCGCGTGCGGGTGGCTTTGCGGCCCGCGTCCCGGGAGCGGACGTTGTACTGTTGTTCGGGGTGCCGCCAGAGGCATTAAAGTGTTGTGTATTTTTGCATTAGAACACTGTCTATTTGCCCCGCCGCGCTAAACGCCTTATTAGTTGAGCGCGCGCGGAGCGGTGCGCTACACGCGAGTAAACGGAGTAGCGGCCCTGTGGCTCGCTAAGCGTGAACCCGCGGTGATCGTTTGCTGCAGTTAGTAGCGGGATCACCATAATATGGAAATATGTATGAGTCATTATAATTACTAATAATTATAAATATTCGGTGGCACAAAAAGTCTGTCCAAAAAGAAGTATATTTTAAACATTGTCATGGTCCAAACAAAAATATGCAAATTACTACAAAACTAATATCATATTTGAAATCGGCTCAATACTTAAGTAAAAACTGAACAGTAAAAACTTAATTTCCTTGGGCTGCAGATTAAAGAAACCTTTTTTTTAATGACATCTCAACTTAAAATGCCACATATTTATTATCAGTTGCATTGTACTGTAAGTCAAATCCTGGTGCCATTCAGAGCTGCTTCCACTTCCTATTAACCAAGAAAAGCATTTGCATTTGCCTTGTATCAATTAAAAATATGTATTGTGCACGTCAGTTGGATCATGCAGATACGCTCACTTTTTTATTATAGTGATATATACCACTCTAACTCGATTTGAAATTATTTTATTTAATCACTATTTGCTTCGAATTCGCTTTGAACCAAAAATTTACTAGGCTTAGAAGGCACTTCTGAGACCAGGTTGTTGCATGGGGTAGGTATTCTACGTGTGTGGTTATACTGGCAATACCTTTTATTAAATTTTGCTGAAAGCAAGACAAAGCTGAAAAAGGCCGTCATTTTAAATGAGTTCACGTATCAGAGAATGGCTTGTTGAAATTATGTGCACCGTCCTGAGATCCTAATGCAGGTCACTGGCATAATATATTTCCAAGCCAGTTCTTTTTACTAATATTTATTAATGCTAAAACCCATTTTAATTTAGACAAGAATGATTAGTTGCTCAAAGTAGCATCTCCACATACATTTACAAACTGCCATTTGTTTATTGTGATATGAACTGCTTTTGTTGTGTAAACACAGAAATTGCAAAACATTGTGTCCTGCATTTGCTTTAGCAAGTACAGATGGCACAATTCTTACGTAGCTACAAAATTACCGTATTTACTCGCATAATCCTTGCACTTTTTTTGCCGGAAAACCGATGCAAAGTTGGGGGGTGCGAGAATTACGCGGGGAAAACTTTCCATGAAAACGTACAGAGCGAAAAAGAAAACGAAGTGGCTGCGAATCGGGATTCTCACACCAGAATCTAACAGCAAGCTTTAAAAAGTACTAATTAAAACTTACCTCAACAATAAAAGCAGAGGTTTAACACAAGACAAGATTTATTTGAGACACAAAAAGTGGAAGCAAATAGTCGTGAGGTAGAATACTATACGCAAAGCTTGTGGACGTTGCGGGCGTAGCGATAGCGTTCGTCACTCAACAGGAGCCCTCAAAAGGTAAGCGTAGGACGTCAGTATTGGGCTGATGGCTATTTAACAGAATCGTCCACAGTTTCCTTCTGAAGAAATAAAGTTTACCATCAATCCCAGTTTTAGGCACACGGCAGGCCCAACCCGTCTTGGTGGCTTTCGGCTGCCGTCACCAGTAGCGAACACAAAACTTGTAGACTCCAAAGGGCCTACCGGTGGCCCTGTTGCCATTGTTTAGTGCATGATCTATCACATGCAACTTGAAAGGAGCCGTGTAGCTTCAATAGTATTGCCTCATAACGTGACAAGATTACCGACACTACAAAACACGCCGCAACGCGCACTGGCAACTTCGGCTTGGATTGAATTGAATCTCTGTGCAATAGTACCATTGACGGTTAAGAGATGGCGCCAGATGGCGCACGCTATCATCATCAGTTGCTAGAACGAGTAGACGAAATTATTGCGGCAGTTTCGGGGGTGCGATAATTACTCGAGGAAAAAAATAAATCGTATTTTTGTTGGGCGATGTGGGGGGTGCGAGAATTATGCAAGAGTGAGGATTACGCAAGTAAATACGGTATGTTTCCTATCCTACACAGCTGTAGACAGCATAAACCTTCAATTTATCACAGACAAAACAGGTGATTAATGCATGCAAAGTGGCTAATTAAAATGCATTCATCATAAAATGCCACCTACGTGCCAAATTTCAGAGCTGCTGAACTAGTGGTTCCACCACACAGCTCAAGTATAGCTGAAATTCTCAATACATTTTTTATGCACAATATACTTCGTAGCATTTGATGGAACCATTACCAAACCATCATGCCCCATTTTGCACAGACAGATAACAAGCCCAACTTACCTGGAACAGATGACACAGGCCTTCAACTGCAGCCTCAAGTGTCACCAACTCCGCAGGTAGCCAATCACGCACCAGCACCTGCACAGCAACACACCACTAATTTGGCATGCTGTGCCATTTTAAAAAAAACAGAAAGCCGATTATAGTACCTGTACTGCAATACATGACTTACCAGCAACAAATACAGACAAGGCTACCTGCACGAAGAATGCTGACCTTTGAATGCCCAAAGGTAATAACAATAGTAACACAGTTAATGAATATTACAGTGTAAGACTATTCCGAATCACATCTTTCACAAGTGCACATAAGGCATGCATATGTTGCTATAAAGCCCTTCTTTACAAGATTGTAAATGCAACAGCAGCCGAAACATTCCTTCATTATGGAATAAGTACGAATTACAGTTGAGCCTGGATAGTTGAGCCTGGAGTAGAGCCCTAACTTTGTTCAGATATTTTGAGAAAAAAGTGTGTTTATTACGCAAAGAAATACAATAGTGAGATATAAATTTGTAATTCAAAATGAGAGGTACAGAGCTCATGCTACAGACAAGCCGCCCTCATCGAACCTAGTTCATCGTTAGACATTTCAAGGTCTGGTAATGACTCTTCCTTGAAGAAGCAGGCGCGATGACCTTGGCAAACACTCAAGGTAGCAGAGTCCAGGTATCACCTCACTTGGTTGTTGCTCAGGCTGAAATGCGAAAAATACTCATTTCACCCCTTTTCTACTAACTTAAAGGAATGTTTTCATCCTCTACCATGTCCTTTTAATAATAGGCACACGTTTTCAGCACTAAAGTAACAATACAAGTACATGTAAATCATTGAACACTGCCTTGTGCATGCTAGTTGGCGAATCTGTTTTTCCAACCAAAAACATGAGCGAAGGTTTCCTGTTACACGACAGGAGAGGGCTCACTTTTCTGCAAATGGTCAATTCCCATTGTGCCGCCAGGTTGCCAAGCGCTTTGACACACTCGATAACTTTTTTCTTAAAGCCTATCGTGAACTGTCATCGACTACCACTCGTTTCTGAAGGAAATAGAAAAAAAAAAACAGCAGACAGACAAATTTAACCGAAGCAAAATGGCGTTGCTAGTACTACACTGTAGGCTTTGCCTAGCCTTGCCCAACGGCGCTGCTGCTGATGCTAATGATTGCATAGAGTTTCCTAAATATACGTTAGAGGTAACTCTGGCACTAGAGTCTATGGGAGCTGCAACGCATGGCGCTTCAGCGAGCATCGGAATTATAGGTAGTACATGGACTTGCCTAGTCTTCGTACTTTGTGTTTCTTTTGGCTTCGTGTAGCTTGAAGCTGCTTTGTGACAAAACAACAATCGGCAAACGTTCAGCACTTGCGTTTCACCCCTTTTTTTATTAGGCTCACCATTTCAAATCGGATCACGAAGTTCAAAATGGTTCGTTCTTTTTTTCGTAACAAAACCGAAACACAGCAATAAACGAAGCCACAAGTGTGATTCACTGCCCGCAAGTACAAAGACTAGGCAAATCCATGTACTACCCCTCACTTCCATGGTCGCTGAACGATCGCAACGCCAGAGTCTCCTCCAGTTAATTTCAGGAAACTCTATGCAAGTTGGCAATGGAGGCTTTTGCCTTCAGCTGCCCATTGTTGCGAGACTTCCACATTTTTTTTGCTAATAATCGGTATACAGCAGACTTTCTGCTAATAATCGGTATACAGCAGACTCTCAGTAAACGAAAATCTGTTAAACGGTACTACTGCTTAAACGAAACTATTGCCTCTGCAATGCTTGGTTTTTGGCTTGTATTCTGCACCCATGTCCAGCTCTCAGTAAACAAAACTCCTGTTGAATGGAACATACTTTACCAGTCCCTTCACGTTACATTTACTGAGAGTCTACAAGACGAGGGTTGACATTTCATCGCATTTTTTTTTTTTCAAAACAAAAAAATTCGACATATGTTCCAGTTTTTCTTGGTGTATACCTCGTTTCGTTCTGAGCAAAAGCAGTCATTCAAAGCAAAATGAAACATTTTCAGACCTTTCCCAGCAGGTCAAGAAGATCAGCTGTGTGCTGGCTGGATAGGTCATCCCGCAGCAACACATCAGCCAGAAGACGTACAGCACGGGCAGCCACGGCAGGTTCCGTTTCAAGTGGAGACACGTGCGGCAGCAGCACTTTTTCCACCAGTTCATCCGCCTGCAACAGAGACCTACTACTGCAACATTCCACCATTACACTGATAGATAGATATGTGGGGTTTAATGTCCCAAAACCGCCATATGATTATGAGAGATGCCGTAGTGAAGGGCTCCGGAAATTTCGACCCCTTGGGGTTCTTTAACGATTCCACCATTACACTAAGTGCAGAAAATACTCAACTTCGTTTTTTTAAGGGCGAAGCGCCTGAAGGTCTCAGCTTGTCTGCATATCATGTCAGTGTCACGGTCCATCAAAAAAAGCTATGCGCCACACAACTCGCCACCGTTCCATACAACAGGGTTCATAGCACTTAGGTGAAACAACATTCAAGGGTTTCCAAGGACTTCTATGGACGTAACAAATACTTTTTAAGGACCTAAAATAACACTCGAAACTGCAGAAAATGACAACACCACTTTTTAAAGCATGGAAATTTGTACTTTTCAACATTTAATCAAGCTCCTCCAAGAATAAGAATATTAACCCCACCAGGTTTGTTTCTAATTATAGTTACTTGCTACCACCTATTCAATCTAACTATGGTAAGAAAACATCTAAACTCTCTACCATTCACTTTTGAAACGGTTTGTCTCTTTCACTTTTCAAAGCATCAATAAAATCTTTCCTTTTAACTACTGATTGCTCACCTCAGTAATTGTATATGAAATGAAATTGTATATAATCTTCTCTACCACTTGCCTACATTTTTTATGTTTTTTTTGTTTCTACGTAAATATCTTGTTCATTTTCATTTTTGTGTCTTTTTCTACTTTTCTTCACTTATTTTTGTATTTTATTTGATGTGTTACATTGCTTTGTATACAGTATTTTGAATTTTGCTTTATTGTATTGCTATTATTTTATCTTGTATTTCAACTGTCCTTGCCCATTACTTTTTTGGCTTTGTATATGCTTCTCTTTTCACTTTCTGTATCATATTTTGCATTTTACATTCTATGTTAACGGTTTCCTATTTCATCTCTTAGTTCAACAGTTCTCGCCTGTTCACCACTGGCTAATATTTTGCCAATTGTTTTTTAGCTCACTATTGTAGTAGTTTTTGACTGAGGGTCCCGTTTTCAGTATTTATACTCTCAGACTCTCATCTGTACACAAGCATTATGCAACTGATGCATAATGTAACCAATAAACAAACTGAAGTAAACAAATTACCTATAATGGAACTATCATAATACCTCACAGACATGCCGATGGCTAGCAAGGAGATCGATGAGGTGCAGTCGCACAGCTGGCGTTGCCATCTTGGGGTTCAAGAACCGCTCCAGAAGCTCGGCAATGTGGCTTGCCCAGCGCAGTGGGCACAGCTCCGCTTGCTGGGTTCGAAACTCCACCAGCCGCAGCAGTGACGTTTCCTGCAATGCCCAATGCCAGATCGTGGCCAATGATGTGATGCTTAAAGGCGCTCAAGTATGCTACTTTGATGTGCAGCAAAGCACTTTCCCATAGGGATGGACAAATAGTAAATTTGAGCTTCAAAGTGAATTTGAAGTGAAGAGTGATTGGAATTGAGCAGTTAGGATACTGTGCATTACATATTGTAAAGAAAAATGAGCAGTTTATTCACTATGTAACCGACACAATACTTTAAAAATTACAACTAGACTTGTGAATTTTCTTTTTTTTTTCAAAGAGATGCGGAAACAGCTTCATACAGTTGCAGAATTTCAATAGTAGTAGGCTGGAAGTTGAAGGCAATGGAATGCGTAGCGTTTCAAATTGGTTGGACTTTGTGGATGTAAGTCCATATAACAAGCTTTTTAACTTCAAAAAGATACTTTGAACAGAGTGCAGTAGCGATGTGCAAATGGTACACTTTAGGTTCGAAGCGAATTTGAAGCAAAGAGTGATCTGATGAAATAATTTCAAATCAAACAATTTAAATTGTATATATCACATATAATTTAAAAAAGGTACATTTCTGTAATGATCCAACTAACCTACACAATACCTTCCTTTAAAAGGCATGCACAAATGTAGTTCATTATAGTTTGAAGTGAAGTGGATGCAGCTCTGAATAATAGCAAGATGATGGGACCAAGGAGCAGGCACCGGCTGGAACCCAGGCTCCAGTGAAGGAGGAACTCTCGCGAGGCTTTTTACATACAAGAAGAAACCATGTTTTATTTACATATGTACAGAAGTTTAAACACACAAGGTGACGAGATGCGTCCACACGAGAAGAGCCCGCAAAAGACTAGAGGGCCCGTGAATGCCAGAGAGAGCTCTCAGCACACACACAACGCGATCTTATACCACCGGTCTGTGGAAGCGCTTCTCATACAGCGTTTTTCTGGGAGGCAGACTGCGTTCTTGTATGACCCGGGCCGCGTATGAGAGGTCAGCCGATCAGAGTCCCTTGCTGGCCGGATGCTTGCACTGAAGGTTATAACAGCTCGTCCGCCACACGAAGAGGTGACGCAAAAGCTGCAGCAGTGCTGCTCCCTGAAGTGGTTCTTGTACATTACCATTAGCTTCCCACTGATTGTTCACCACAACACAGCGACACACACCACACAGCTGGTCTTACAGTTGGCACACCTTGCGTTAAACGAACCACCGCGCAACACACATTTGGTCCCAGCAGCCAGCGTTGTGGGGATCTGAGGCGCGCCTGCGACCATTTCGTGGGCATTCCGCCGCACGGCCACACCCCTTTTGCTTTTTCTGCTCTGATAACGACGCGTGGCGATAGGTGGCGCCACGTGCGGGCGCGGCACGCGGTATGGGCGCGCCGAGGGAGCGTCTCCCTCCTCCGTGGTCGGCGCCGGGTAAGCACGTGTTTTCCTTCGTCCGCGTCTCCTTTGGGAATCGCCGGACTGTAGCCTGCCTGGGGTGGCCTTGGGCACCTCGGCAGGCGTGTTTACTTGAGTGCTAGCTTCGGTAGCGTACGCTAAGCCCACAGCGGTGCCTAGTACTTGAAGTGGTCGTAACGAGCCGCACTTGCCGTAGGCCTACGCGTATGAGGTTTGCCCTAACACTCGCGACCAGGCCCAGTGGCCATCGTGAGAGTGCGCAGCATAGCCGCGAGGAACCTTTTCCCGACCGGCGTGTCAAAGCTCGCCACTGCCAGCTGCAACGTGCTCGCGGTTTTCCCCTTATTGTGAACATCCGCGTGCGGGTGCCTTTGCTACCCGCATCCCGGGAGCGGACGTTGTACTGTTGTTCGGGGTGCTGCCAGAGGCAACAAAGTGTTGTGTATTTGGTATTAGAACACTGTCTGTTTGCCGCTGTGGAGATAGATTTGCACAAGGCTTACCTACTAAGCGCAACCGTGTAGGGATGCGACGTCCTCCACTGCCGCTACGCGCGAAGACGCTACGGCCGGGTTCGTCGATTTCTCCGGCACGGCGCTGAAACCACGCTCGAGGCAGGATAACAACAACGACGGGTTTATTAACCCAAGATGCAGCACAGTGCGACACTCACGGGCTTGCAGGTCGTATAGGGTACTCCGCAAGACCGAGCAAGTACGATTGCCTAGGGCGCGACGACTCCCGCACAAGGGCCGAAGTCCAACGCACGAACGAGAAGCCGCCTGCTAAGCAGCGCGTCAACCTCTCGTGGAGGCCTGAGAGCATCTGCCGCGACGAGCGAATCACCGGGCACAACACAGCTCGTAGGAGAGGATGTCACGCGCGCCCAATGGGAAATGGCGCTGCGTTGCGACGTAGGCTCGCGCAGCGCACCAGCGTAGCGTGCCCGGACATGCCAGCGCGGGAAGAAGCCGACGGTTGACTGGCCCAGGCCAAGAGGCGCCCTGGCAGCCATCTTGGCAGATGCCGGCGCTTATGTGCGCCCGGGCTACGCCGTCGGGGCGCGTGCGGCAGCTGGGAACGAGGCGCCAGGTAGGAGGGCGCTCTCGATTCCCACACAGCGCCGCGCTAAACGCCTTATTAGTTGAGCGCGCGCGGAGCGGTGTGCTACACGAGAGTAAACGGAGTCGCGGCCCTGTGGCTCGCTAAGCGTGAACCCGCGGTGATCATCCACTGCAGTTAGTAGCGGGGTCACCATAGCGTCCACAGCTGTAGAGGCTCCACCACTGCTGCTTGGCTGTTCACGGGTCGAAGGTGGCACACAATGTTGAAAAAGGCCACAGTCCGCAGCAGCTAGTTCGCCGTGGACCAGTAGGCATAGCTGGGCTTCCCTTCAGCCTGGCTTTAGCGGGGGAGGGCACTCTCAAACAGGACACAGACAGTGAGAACACTCAGTTCTGCTGAGATTCACCAGGTACAAGTTACAGCAAAGTGCCTTTCGAAATTTACTGCGGAACGTAAATCTGCACTGCGATAGTGACCAGTCGGACTTGAACAAACACATGCGCACAAGTCACCACTTGCGACATGCAGAACTCAAAAGGTTTTGTGTTCTGCATTTCCATTGCTCGTTAGCTAAGTTAGACCTTGACTTAGGCCTCTCTGTGTTTCCGTCATCTCTGTTTCAGCTCATCGACCTTAGCCACGAATTCTGCAAAGCTAAGACCCCCTTTTTTTAACATACAGTCGGACTTGTTGGAGAAAAGGTAACAGTACTGCTTCAGCAGATTTGGAGATTAGCTGTCACGTGATTCTTGGGGAGGACATGTGATGCGACTAGCTGCTATGAGGGTTCGACGGGAAGGCATCACTTGACTAGAAATCACGTAAAATTATGCGATTTTAGTCACATCACCAAAAGTTACATGGTTTACGGCAGCAACGTGTCACGTGACTAGCTGTTGCATGTTATTGGTGGGAACCTGTCACGTGACTAGTTGTCACACGACATGTTATGTTTAGGTGACCAGCTGTTACTTAATTTTGCGTGGTTTCAGTACCGTGAGAGAATGCTACATAATATTGGCCACATGACTAGCTCTTGCACAATTTTGGCAAGAACGTGTAACGTGACTAGCTCTTACATACCGTAATTACTCGAATCTAACGCGCACCTTTTTTTCGGTTAAGCGAGTTTATAAAGCGCATGCGCGTTAAAATCGAGTGCGAAAAAAAATGAATACGGTCATTCTATTGCCATCGGCATTTCCGAAATGGCCGCCCCCTACGTGCTTCGGCATGGCGCGTCGGCCATTTCTGCCTATGTGTTTCCCATGTGCGGCACTTCGTACGTGTGCTGAGGAGTTTGTCATCGTGTAGTTCATTAGCATCGACGGTATGGAAGGGCCAACTCCAGAAACTCCACGAGTGCACCACGATGCTGCTTTTAAAAGAAAAGTCATCGCATGTGCCGAAACAGACAGAAATCGGGCCGCGTCGCGGTTGTTCGGAGTTCCCGAAACGTGCATGTGGGACTGGCGGAAACAAAAGCAGAAGATTATCAAAGATTCATGCAAAGGCTTCAGTGGACCACAGCAGGGTCGGTTTCCACAAATTGAAGAGCTGCTCGCCGAGTATGTGCTTGAGCAGCGAGCGGCACAGCGGCCCGTGACGACAGAACTGCTCTAAGTGCGGGCTATGCAGTTAGCTTTAGAAAAAGGGCTAACGCGGAGCCAGTTCAAAGCGAGCAGGTGCTGGCTAACTAACTTTATGAAGAGGAAGTGCTTTTCCCTCCGAAAGCGAATGGGCATGCACCAAAACTTGCCGGAGGAGTACGAAGAAAAGCTTCACAGTTTTCAGAGGTTCGTCCTAAACTTGCGGCACAACAACGGCTCCCTGCTTGGGCAAATCGGGAATGCCGATCAGACGCCTCTTTACTTAGACATGCCTGGCACCGCAACCGTCGAGAAGAAGGGGGCGTGACATCGGGCCACGGTAAAACAAGAGTGACGGCAATGCTCCGTTGCACGTCAGATAGGCACAAGCTTCCCCCGTACCTCATATTTAAACGGAAGACGCTCCCGAAAGGAGTCGTTTTCCCGAGTAGTGTGATTGTGTGGGCCAACGAGAAAAATGGGTGCGCGTTGCAATCGATGTCTTACTTTTTTTTTTTTTTCGTCGTGAAAACCGAGTGCGCGTTACAATCGAGAGCACGGTAGAATCGAGTCAATACGGTAGTTTTGTTGGGAACATGTCATGTGAACAGTCGCATGTTTTGTTGGGAACATGTCATGTGAATAGATATTCCATGACGTTACACGATTTTAGTCACTTGACTAGTTCCTGCATGGTTTATGGCAGAAAATTTTCATCATTGCGATGTGACAGGCTGTTACGCTACGTTGCAGGACTTTAGTGGTGTCATAGTCTTTCAACACTCTTTCCAGTCACGAGATTTTGACGTCCCGCAATGGGGGAGCTTGATATGGTGAGCCTGATATGGTGCACCACCATCATTTAGAGGCAATGCTTCTCCAGCCCACAGGGTTGATTTCGCAGAGACTGCACATGCGGCCAGAGCGAGCTGGAAGTCTGCACGC